AACATAAGAAGGGAGCATAAAAAATGTTCACTTTTATGATTAATTATTTTATCAGTTGGGATGACTTTGTATATTTTCATGGCGCCCATATTTACTGGAACAAAAGGGGACTGCTCGGTGCAATATTAAAGTGCTACAATATATGACGTGCTACCTAAAGCAAAGACTGTTTCAGCCGATGATGAGCCGGTTGCTATAAGTGTACAATGGCTACTCGATTTATAGTAAAACATGGTTCTTTGCATTGTTTGAATGTATCAAACATTCTTTGAGCGTCTAGCGACCGCTTGACAAAATTAGAAATCTAGCTCACCAAAATTAAGCCTTTTTATGTATTTTTTTATATGTTCAACGTTTCGGGTTGTCAATAGTTAATTTCATAATGTAATTCAACATTTTCTTAATACAGACAGTGCTAGTCGAAACTAGCTAGGTAGGGTAACAATGGGTCGAAATAGGTAAAATAGGGATTGTGGATAATAAGATATCACGCTATAAGTACTCGAAAACAATATGTCTTATACGCGGTTGTCCTCTGGAGTGTTCGACTTACTGGCCAGTCTAAAGCAAGGCCGGCTTTTACGTCTAACTAAAACAATGATACAAATATTTCTATTTACCAACTATGTAGACCAGGACATAAGTCTCCTATGCGACTGCACTCCACTGATCTAGCAGCATTCGTAATTTTCCAGGTTTTTGATCGAGACTCGACTTGAATATAAAAGCCGTACATTCCTCTTAGTAGATACAAGTTCACCCAATACCATTGCTTGAAAATGTACCCTTTTTCATTCACACAAGGTTCGACCAGTCAGTGATGCCAGATTTAGCTGGCACGCACAAATTATTGAAATATCGACTTATATTGTAACGGCTTAATACGCGTAGCCTTGGTACTAGAGCATAAAAAACTATATTAAATCTAACTCAACAATTCCGCAAACCTAGCATGATTCTACTAATCTTACCAACAAGCCTTACTGCATGACTTACCTAGATGCAAGTTAAGTTCCTTCTCTTCTAAGAACTGTCGATGTGGCTGAAGAAAAAAACAGCAAGTAAAAGTAATACGATATCAAATAAATCGAAAACACTCTAGTACACGTATTCGCTGCCTGCAGTCGCAAGCCGACAAAGGATAATAGTTGAGGTTTAAAGAAAAAAACAGTGATACTTATTTTCAAAAGAGTAACTCAGACTATGGTTTATTGATAAGGACAATTTTGCTTCCGAAGACCTGACAAAGAGCTGAAGAATGAAGCTTACATTCAGTAGAGCGCTAGTTGTATTCATTAACTTCTAGTTTCGAGTTTTAAGAAGAATACAAATATCACTACAACCACTACTCGCTTCAGTAGACTTGACTAGACTAGAATTTAGCTAAATATATAAAACCGCAAAAACTCAACTTTTTCCAAAAATCATCACTCTTGCTAAGGAAAACTTGTGTAATGGTGAGTCATTTTTTTAAATACGTTTTTTAATAAAACTGAATATTAAAAAATAAAACTGAAATCGCAAGCGCTAGCTTTGCATAGCTAGTATACGTAAAACAGACATCGTCTATGTGTCTCAAGTAATAGCTTTACGTTCTTCCATTTTTCTACCTACTATAAGAAACATATGACGGCTGGAGCGAGGGAGCACCTTGCCACTGCAAACGAAAACCTAAGTTCAGATGTTTCACCCAAAATGATAGACACTTACTTGGTTCTTTTAAAGCGTAATAATCTCAAAGACTCAGTCTTTTCTATACCGTCCACTTATTTTTTTCAAATGTTTAAAAGTGAATATAGGGTAAAGGTTTTGTTCAAAGTGCTTTTGGTATGCCCTATAACTTTGCTTCTTGCAATTAAGGCGATACGTAAGTTCATGTACCTTTGCTATATTATATCACTTGCGTATAAAGGTGCGCCGTGCGTAGAAAATGTCAGGACTGTTTCTAACTGAGCAGATATGTCTGCCAGCATCTCTAACCATTTAGCTGCACGATCTAGAATTATCACCGCCCATTAACAGCGAAGAAAAAAGATGTACGTTTATGGCTATTTTTGTACGGTGTAAAAAGGACAATATATTCTATTGCTCATAAAAAAATTTCCTATGATTTAACGAATGCCTCGTGCGCGTCTCACGGGTAGGTAGTCATTTATGTGCTATTTAAAAGTTTACATATTCATAACTACGTAAAAATTGATAGGTGTCAATGTAAGCGATTACAGGAAGTCTCCCACCTGACAATACGCATTTTCAGACGCGAGACGCAGAAAGTACAATCTATTGCTTAGAGGAGTTTGTATGCTGGAACCGTCTCAAAACCAGCTTTAACAATGTCTCTAATTTTTTGCGTGTAGACTTAGCTAAACGAGAGAAGGGATTATCTAACAATATGTACAAAAGACTACCCATATGCCCTAATAATAACGGAGAATAAAATGGCTTTTTAGGCAAGGTTCTTAGTAGCGGTTTCGAATTTTTGAAACATTCAGAGATGTAAGTGCCTCTTAAATTGGATTTTCAGAAAAATCGAATTGTTTCGCTTCTTACCATAAGCTGCTGAAATACGGTGTTTTGTTCCAGAAAAGGGTAAAGAATTTCTGGAGAATATTAATAGTGTTCACAATGCTTGCCAAGTTCATTTATCTTACGCCCCTATTATCCACACGAAATTTAACTACTATTCGTTAACTATTCGTAACCTTGTGATAGTTGAATGCATAGCGGATTCAAAATACCACGAAAAAAATGGAACAATGAAATACATTGTATAGGTTAGTACAGTGATCAGACTATTTCATAGGAATATCTGAAAGTCGATAAAAGGTAATGGAACTACTAATCGGATCGCAAAAGCATTACACTAAAATAACGCAGCAATGTAATAGAATGACTCCAACAATTTACACAAACTGAGTGACAGGAAAATGACTGCAGATTATTTGCGAAAAATATCTATGAATAAATGACAGAGCTGATACATTCGATCGGTACTGGCTGGGGCTTTTAAACCCCAACCGCGTCCAAGGTAGCAGTTATGTATTACTCTCTAGGCCGCTATACTGCAACAGCACCCTTGTCAAAGATTTAACGTCTTGGGAACACCTCCTTATCAGTAACTGCCTTGACTGCCGTGCGCTGTCACCGCAGTGCTACAATGATCCCGGCACCCTTGAACCTCAGTCTGTTTTCGTAGACGTACCATAACCCTTCCTGAAGTCTGTACGGTCAGGACCTGACGGTACACGCTTGTGTGCTCCCCGTACGGCATTTGACTAAGCTCTTTTATTCCTTATCTCCTTCTGTAGGCACTAGTCCTTAGGCGCTAAACTCGCTTCCACCGCCTGCTTAAGCGCCCCACGCTACATAGACTACGGCTACCAGTACCTATTGTTTCCACTAGCCTAACCTAGCTGTGCCGCCAACCTGGTCAACGGGGTCCGCGTTTCCTTCGTCGTTCCCGATCCTTGATAATCCAGAAAAAAATCGGGTGGCCGGTTCCGAAGTCTCAATATTACGTCCTGCAATGTCTTTCACCAGTGTTTGCATCAGACGGCTGATTTTCACCAGGAAACAGAGTTTATCTCCTAGTTCGGTCGCGTAACATCGGCGAAGTAAATCCAGTCTTCAGGCGGAAGTTCATACCTTCTCAATAATGTGCATAAAGCGTTAAATCTGCTGCTTGATCGAGAACTTCGTGGCTACCACCAAATTTTGCCCCTAATTAAAAAATGACAATGCATTGGCAGCGGCAAAGGCTTTTATACACTAATTACGTCCGAATCAGCAGTTAGTGATTATCAGTTAGTATTATTACATTACGTATACATATACATCCTGATGCCGAAGAAGACAGACACCGGAATGAAAATGTTTGTATGTTCCGACTGGGTTACCTTTCTCGCATGTATTTGTTCATTAACTACTCGCTTTGAGATTTTCACGCAGTTTAAACCGTTCTTAGGCCATATGCTAATTTTTTTTTTGACGCAATTGAAAAATGACGCAATATTAATATATCTAGATTCATTGAAGTTTGAACAAGAAGAGAATACATCTTTTAACTGTTTCTTTAGAGACTATTTGTCTGAGTTTATCGATATAAAAAATGGATCAAAAATCCTTGTACATTACACGCCATGCGCGTTGACAAAATAAAAAAAGCCCATAATGTATGAATCGGGATACCAATATCATGAAACATCATCTTGCGCTCTATTTTAAAGTGTGTGGTTATTTTGAATTATTTACTGCTCGAAAGCCACGTGGAGACTGGCAACAATCCAAAAACGCCGACTTCGGGTATACTTCGTTGACTTTCAACGCGAAGAGGCTAGACAATTTCTAATCTTTGCTTTTATATCTCCGTCCGAGTAGACGGACCTTCATTTTGCATTATGTTGAGTTTGTGGTTTTGTTCAATATCAAAAACAGAGCATGAAATCATGGCCATTGTAAGTAGCCTGCCAAAGCATATCATAATTTATATTAAGCTCCCTGTATGTATAAGCTTATTCTATAACGAGATAGAAGAGATTAAATTGTATTATTTTTAGTAGAAAAATATCATAACTGTTCCACTTCATTATAATGAATATGTAAAATACTAGAGGCACTATAAACGTGCAGACACTACAAATAAATACGAGGCCGAAGTTGATCGACAGTTAAAAGGACCTTTAGTTCAGAACGATGTAAGTTTTTATTTAAAAAAAAAAAGAAGCCAAGGTGACGTTAAGAATACTCTAACTGCACGAAGTTTCTTTAAAACGTAATATCAGTTTGTTGCTAATTTTCAAACTGTTTTTGCCCTTCACGTCTCTCTGCTAAACAGGTTCTGCTAGACTTCTAGAATACTCTTTTGATGTCTAATCCAAATTTCACGGGGCCTTTTGTTTCCACATCAAATAGTGGCCCTGATGTGTCCCTAGGGAGTTCTAAGGACAAAGTAATGGTTTGTGAACTGTAATTCGTTCTTGACTGTGCATTATAATTTACAGGTCTGGTCCTATCGGCGGTCTCTTCTGAGAAATGGCTGACGCTTTCGCTCTGTGTATCTTCTCCGATCAATGATAATAACAACGACGTGGACTTAGAGCAAACGACAGCAAACCATCGCTTAGAGGAATTTTTGAGTAATCGTAAGTCTCTACTCAGTTTTTATGTTCAAATAAACAGTTCGAGTGAACATGGTGTGTTAGACAGGCAGGTTTAAGTGAGAATCGTTGGTAACATACGCTTTCGGCGACAGACAGGAAGGCAATTACGTTACAAAGATATACAATTTCCTCTTTACGGCGATCAATTTTGCTTATTCCAGGAAAACGGCACATTTCAAAATTTTCATGTTTAGTCGTAGGTATAACAAAAGGTTTGTCATTTAAAACCCGCCACTTAATTTTGAATTTACGTGCGGCTTTCTCCCAGATAGTCATCTCATTAACTGAAATATACTAGCATTAAAATTCAATCAATTGATCATATTTTATAAGCTTACGTATTCAAACTTTACGTTTGACGTTTAACACAAATGTATCCTTATCACGTGCAGTTGTCGGAGCTTCGGATAAAAGTGGTATTTAGACAAATAGAGTAAGGCTGCATGTAGTGTCCCCAAGTCCAGTCATCCCGCAGAAACAGATTTCAGTTAGTCTGTTTAGCCGTCAACCTCGCTATACATCGAGGCGAAACGTATTCCTAACAATGTTACCATCAAGCAAATAGCAACCGAGTGTCACTGAGCGACAGGTTCATCAAGATAGGTCGATTGAAAGTTGAAAAGACATATTTTCATAAGTGTCGCATGTACCAATAAGGCCATTGCTTCTAAACGTATTTATTAAACATAGGTTCCACTCACTTTAATCACATATAATATGGCACGTAATTCACAAATCACTTCTAAAGATACACTTTTAATTGACAAATAATTGTTTAAAAAGTCTATGAGGCCAAGGGATACTGGTACATGCAAATAGTGTCGCTGTTTTTTAGGAACACTTTGAAGATGAACTTCGTGTTTGAATACGTAAGCATATAAAATATGATCAATTGATTGAAAAACGCCTTGTTGCAACATCACAGCCGTGGAATGGATGCATAGCGCGCCAATATATATCGAAGTTTGAATGTTGAAATGGTGAAGAGCCGAATACATCGTAGGTCGTAACATAAAGCATATACATGCACCTCCCTAGTAGCTCGAATGGCCCAAGCAAATGAAAGATGTACAACAAGCGTATACTGTATATAATTATATCATTATCAACTTGCTACACAATTACACAGCTAGTTGCTTAGAGCGTCTTACCTGTTAAAACAGGTTTAATTTTTACATCGTGGCCGACAAAGCAATGATAATGTTAACACTTAACATCCACTTGTATGATCAATTTGTACTTCTCTAATATTGTTCTATATTTTCCGTTAATCGTTTAAATAGTGTTGGGTTATAGTGCCTATGTTGTGCAGTTGATGGAAAGTCCAAACCCCCCTCTTTTTTTTCTGTCTGGATCTAGCTGCTTCGGTCGGTCAGTCAGTCAGTCAGTCAGTCGCTCATTCTACTCCCAGTGTTCTCACAAAGATCCCTGATACCATAGCGGCGGCAGTAATAGGCAGGTGACATTGTTTGTTGCCAGGCTCCGCTGAAAGGAATTGGAAATCGAACAACTGCCGATCCCCTTTTTCTCCTATACATCTTCTATCCGGCTGAAAACCAAGGCCGTCACTCGTCACCCTGTTTTTGCGGAGGATTCAGCCCAAGAACTCGACATGTTCTCTCTATTAGTAGGAACAAAACAGCCGAGCAGATGAGTTCTTGGTACTTCGTTGGTTCATTTAATACCGCTTACCGTAGCCGTCCCAACTGCGATCTAGGTAGAAGAGCAGAAATGTCCTTTAAGATGTCCTTAAAAATGTCCTAAAAGAGGAACAATAAAATAGGCTTTTCCAAATGAATTGGAATTTAATTGATGTCATCGGGCCTACTTAAAGACAGGGGGCAATAATCGGAATTTACAGTGCGACGTATATTGGCAACGCTTGCCTACCTATTGGTCCTTATTATTGTGAAGTAGAAAATAGTCCAAAATATCAAAATGCTTAAAGAAATCGGATTGTTTTTCTGTCTTAAGGCATAATTGGCTTCGGTAAAGTTTATCAATGATCGCAATTACATTTAACCTAAGCTGTCATAGCACAACAAGTCCGAAATTAGCAAGCAGTCCTTCCAGTGCTCTGCGTTCTTTCAGACATATGCACTGCAAAATGCTTTTGGCCTGTGAATCAATAAATTCATTCCTTTAAAAGAGAGTGTTCTACTGAAATGTAGTTACCACTGAAATTCTCACACAATCAAGTCAAAAATATTCCGAGCCCTTAACTACTGGTACCAAATAAAGCTTCAGTCTGTACACATGTAAAAGTTTCCTTTTCGAACATTGCGGTTATATAATTCGAATTAATTGGGCTCAAAAGCTGTTTCTGATCAGTATAAACGATCATGTAACTCGAATCTTTGTCTATTTTATGGATCTGCAAAGCTAAGGTTCCTCATAGGCATCTCATCAGACTAATATTATAATAAAAGATTAGAGAAGTAACTCGATGATTGGTATCTAATTTGGGAATTGTTTTTGGGATCTCACTTTGGCATTACTGTTGACTTAATATTAACGACGTTATGCAGTGATCGCCCCCACTATCTTCCCGCGTCAACAACATGGGCCTGTCTTAAGAAAAAGTGTTGAAATTCACTGTACGATTCAGGCCTGTATATGGGCTCCATATATATA